TACCTCACCTAGAGTAGATCCAAGGGGGTATGGACCCGAGACAGCATGATGCATAGCGTGCTCTGTTGCGGGCAGACGCAGAGATAAGGAAACTCTCTTCATTGGATCCCCTTTTTTTTTTTTTTCGCTTCCCCTTTCTCATTCCCGTTATCGCGCACACGGTCGTACGTGGGCTTCTTGGTTTAGGGGTTTTAGGTGACCCTGCGCATGTGAAGAAACGTCGCGCGGCTCTCGATTGGGCTTGTTTAGCCACTTGCGCTAGACGGGCGGCTGCTTGTTCCCCGGCGGCTTCACAGAACGACAGGGAGCTTTGGTAGGGCAAGGGACGCCGGGGACGCAGGCGTAATGTTGGGATTGCAAGACACCACGGGCCCTGGGCCGCGTCTTCTCATTCGCCCGGGAAGCTCAGCGAGTAGAACAGGGCTTAGGCGGTCTGGTTCAGTTCTCTCATCTTATTTTGAGAATTAAACCATGGGTGTCAGGTCAAGGTTGCGAGAGCTTGAAGATCAGCTGTGAAAAAAGCACTGTAAAAAAGCGGGCGGGAATGTGGCGGTTGCCGACGATTGATTCCCTGCCTTGACGGCCGCTTGGGCCAGGGAAGCTGCTTGCTGTTGAGTTGTCAAGTTGGGATTCACGCCGATCAGCGCTACGCTGGGAGTTGAAGGCGGGCGTGGGATGACTATTCGGGAGATGTGCGCAGTTCGCGCCTGGGATCACAAAGCTTGACATGAGAGCTGGAATGCCTCTGGTGCATCTGAGTGGTTTCGCGCGCTGCTTTGCAGCTCGGCCATGACGACATTTGCTGATGTGTCGTCGTCCCCGCCGGTTGGTGACCTGAATTGGAGACTCTTGGCTTGTGTTCGTTGCCAAGATGGCTTGCTGCATCGCCACGGTTGAGTTGCGATGTACTGAGGCTCACATGTTGGCCAAGTTGCCTTTCTATCCCGTCGAAACCAACTTCAACTGTCTAGCACACCTCTTGGGAGCTATTTTGGGAATTCGGGCGAGAGAAAAATTCGTCGGCGCAGAAGGCAAAGTCAGGTTTGGTACCTGCATCCAGCATACCTTCCACGCCTGGCGGTGGTGGTACGGTGCGTTACCGCCGGAATGTCACTCGCGACAGTGGTGGCAAAAGATCTCAAAGTAGCCGGCCGACGGACGAGCGGGACGCCCAAGATGGTAAGCCGTCGGTGACGTGGTGGTTTTGGGGTGTGAGGGTCGGAATATCTCACGAGCTAAGGCAGCTAGAGGTGCACGAAAAGAAAGATTTTCAGGAGGGTCGGATTCTGGAGGCGCTAGAAGGCGTTTCTTGGAAATGGATGGGTGGTGAGGCGTGATAAGGTTCTTGTTTCACGGACTGATTGATGTTGGTCTTGAAAATGGTAGTGGTTGAAACGGCCGAAAATGCGACTGCAGACGGCTTGCGTCGTGCAGCATTGGCATCAAGCATGAATCAGCAGTTCATGAGACCCTTGGGCTCCCTGCATCTGATCGCTGCTGTCATCTTGGTCGTCGGCCATCTGTGAGTGATACACTTGCATTCACAATGGACCTGGTTGTCCGAGATTCGCGTTGGACCCGCGGAGAAGAGAGTCCAGGCCCAGAGAATCTGGGGGAGCGTCGAAGAGTCGGACAGACTGCGACTCCGTGCCTGAAGATGTCGTCGGACTGTTGTGGACGCGCCAAAAGCAGGGACGGAGGACAGTGACGGCATCGGAGCATCGAAACAGTGGACGAGAAGGTTCGGGGGTCGGTGGGCCGAACATGATTAGGGGCTCAGCGCCGGGTCCTTGGAGTCTTGGCAGGGGAAAGAAAAACGGGCAAAGGACCAGTTTTACCGTCTTCGAATGCGGAATATGGGAGGACCAAGTGACGTCAGCCGTGGCGGGTGGGTCGACTGGGAGTGGGGGTTCCCAACCCGCGCCAAATGAATTCCCGCAGAGCTTGGGTGCGTCGCTGATTCTGAGAGAGGAAACGCTGGGGCGGGCTGCTGCCTGTGGACGGGATCGATCAATGTTCCGTGGGCAATTGCTCGCGATTGGAGAGCATGGAGCAGCAGTCGTCGAGCAGTGTCGCGCACCACCCGACAGCGGATGCCGCTGCCAAGACACGCCGGTTCTGCGAAGGGTGCTGCTGCAGGAATGGATTGGCGGCGGTTCTCGTATTTGGGCCCGTTTGGTCTTTGATTAGTGCTGCTCGACAGTTGTTTTCGCGCCTCGGACTCTTGTAGTTTCCCATCCTCGCAAAGGTATTCTGTTTCTTTGGACAGGTTGTGAAATACATCTGTCGTCACTGGCTGGCGTTGTCGGTGGTTATGCTCGGCCTCTTCGGTGGTTTTCCGCCGTGATTAAAGCACCCACGCCGCCGCCATTGCGCTAGGGTTTCTGTTGAGGTGGCTTGCACTGGCACCGGGAGGTAGTGGCGGCCATGTGTAGTTCGACTGCTTCTGGCACGCCTTCATATGCTCGTGGCTGGCGCTGCTCGGGAGGAAGACCGGCGGCAGTTGGACTGGTGATCGGCGAGTGTCTGTTCGCGGGAGGGACGGTTCAGTGCAACGCGGCCGAGAGCCTCAGTGTCTCAATGTCCGGGTGTGCCAGGGATAAAGTGTGCGGGTGTTTGTGCAAGACGCGTGGGATGGCGGACAGGATCGCGATCATGGTAGATCGTGGGTTCATTCCCAGTGGGACTATTTTTCAGCTTTGCTGTCGGCCGCCAGGTGACCGTGGGTCGCCAGCCTTGTGCATTGTTGCTGGCGTTCGGGAATCCAATAAATGAGAGTTCTGTCTGGATCTGTGGATGTGACTGACGATGGTCTCCGCAGAGTGCATGTGCAATGATGGTGGTGTTGGTGTTGGTGATGGCAAAGATGACGACGGGTGGGTGCTCTGGGTGTGTAGTTGACGGCCATTGAGGCGCTAGAGAGTTTGCAGGTTAGGCCTGCCGTGGACCGAGGAAAGCGCGAGGAAACAGTGAGGCGACACGGCGGAAGGCGCGACGGGATGGCAGATGGCCAAGGAGGGTGTCGACCTGCCTTAGTCTGAGGGAAGGTGCACCGCACCTGCTTTCCGTTGGAGGGAGGCAGGCAGTTGGCAGTCGCGGCAGTCGATCGACGGCAGGAAGCACACAATGCATCAAATGCATGCAACTCCAGCTAGCCAGCGTATGCACCTCCCTCAATGCGCGTCTGCAAGCCTCAGGATGCATGTCTGTTGCGGCTGTTGCACATGCTGCAGAATGCGAGCTTGCCTCCCTCCCTCAAACTTTCGGTGTAGATGTCGGGATCCAGGAATGAAGAGAATGGAACCCATACAGACTCGCTTCAGTTAATTGCAATGTTGCAACGCGGCTCCCAGCCATCGCCTTATCGCCCACTGCGGTGCCCCCGAGCAATCAACCTGACGGGGAAAAGAGATATTTCCATCTGGATTCAGGGTCCCCCCTTTCGCAGAATTGCAGAATTCACAGAAAAAATCCCAAGCTCCTCCCTCCCCTGAGCTCCAGCTCCCTCCCTGGCTGTCGACTTCCGCGGGCTGTGGCCTGTGGATGGGCAGAAGGATGGGTTGTGGTTCTGGAACGATGGAAGCAACATCCCGGTGCCATGTTGGTGGGGGTTATGGGCATGAAGAGAGAAGAAAACATCAAGCATCGTCCAACCCGGTCGCTGTCCGCGCAGTCGTTTCTGTCAAATGGACGGGCCCGGACCGTCTCACGTCGGATGGGAGATCGGATGAGCAGCTGCAGCAAATGTCGTGGCCGTCGTAAATCGTCGTTGTCGTTATCATACGTACTTTAGCTACTCTTCATGATCCATTGCCTGCCGCCGCCGCAGTCACAGCCATCGCAATCGGCCCAAGCTCCCTGATGCAATGGAAGCGAACTCGGTTCTCTGCTCGGTTCCATTTAACATTTGGCAGTGCTTCTAAAAAAGAGGACCCGCTTCTTTTTTTTTAATGTTATGACGAGCCACCAGCGAGCCACGGACCCCAAGCAGAGATCAGCATCCTGTCACCCAATTTTTTCTGGGCACCGCCGTCAAGGAGGGTGCAGATGTAGAGAGGCAAGGCGAGTCGATAGGACGACCATCGACGACAAGAGTCAGAGAGATGCAGGCGTGGAATAAACTGGATCCCCCCATCCACGTCCCAGCGCGCGCGCTCTTGGTTCATTGAGCTCAAACACGGGATTGCTGGGGTTGTAGGTTCACACCACGGCCAGACTCCATGAGGTCTCCATAATTCCCTCGTAGAGTCCCTGTTTCTTAAATGACCGAGAAGGCCAGGGACTTGCAAAGACTGGAGATGCTGGAGCTTTTTCTGCCTCTGCTGCCACCGCACCGCGCCCTTGATGCTAAGATTTCCGCTCCGCGCTGGGTTTCCCATTGTCCCATTGCCAGTCCCAGTCCCAGTCCCAGTCCAGGATCCACTGTCCTGTGCTCCTTCCCGCGACTGATTGCCATTTGCTGGTGGTTACCCTTTTTGGTGCCATCCCGGTCGCGCCTACCCAAGATATTTCATCAACACGTCCCTTCCCTTTCAGAGCTTCAGAGCTTCCTTCCCCAGTCTTGTCCCTCCTCTTCCTTCCCCATCGGCACCTTCTCTTTCAAGGTATTCACCCACGGGGAAAGAGGACTGCTCCTGCCGAATACCCGACCGACAACTTCACCTCTTCTTGGCTGCAAAGGTCAGATCTAAGCTCAGATCTTGCACAGCCAGCTCGGTGTTATTGGCACACCGAGAAATACAGCGACCGCAACGGTTCCAGACCAAACAGTCGCCTCCTGCTCATCCAGGTTGAATTTCGTCATTCAACCTTTTCACCGGTTTCTCCAGAAAACCTATTAGTCCTACGTCAATTGGGCTTTATCACAACTTTTATTATTACCATTCCGCCCCCAATACCACCCCCATCTCTGGTATCGTCTTCATCCTCCGTCTCTGTCGTCGTCCGTTGTCGTCCCCGGTCTTCATTTTGACACGGCCAACGCGGCTAGACCGCCCAGTATGGCAACAAATCGTGAGCGCTCCGACTCGGAGGTGCACGACGAGAAGGGCTCCGCCCACACGTCCGACTCCTTACAAACGGCGACGGAGCCTTCACAACCGCCCCCGCAGGGTGAAAAGATGTCGAGGCTTAACACGGATCAGCTGTTGCCCTTGCCGGGTGACGACGATATGCGCCCCCAGACCATGTCCCCCTCCGGCACGAGGGAGCAGGCGTCTCGTTTAAACGACGACCTGGAATTACTGCGCGCCGAACGCTTTGTGTCAAATCAGGAGCACGAGGGTCGCTCTCACAAAGGCAGAACCCACCAGGGCGAACCCGAAGACGTATTCGCGGGCGACTTGAACCCAAATCAACAGGAAGAGAAACCACCACCAGAGAAGAAGGCCGGCGCCTTTGCCTTCGCCATTTGGAAGTGGCTTCGAAAGTTTCCCCGATGCTTCAGATACACGGTTTACATGATCCCCGGAGCGGCCCTCCTACTCATCCCCGTTCTCATGGGTGCTCTTGTTGTCAACCCCGATAGCGCCACCGTCGGAGGTGCAACTGGTGTCTATCTGACTTGGTTCGGTATCTGGCTTGAGGTTATCTGGTGCTCTCTGTGGACTTCCCGCATGATTACGAGTTTCATCCCCCTCATATTCGGCGGCATTGCCATTGTAATGGGGTCGTCTAACCACAAGAAGTGGAAGGATGTCGGACAGGGTCTCGAGCTTCACACTGCCCTGTTCATGTGGATGCTTGCCATCCTTTGCTCATTCTCCCCTATTATCGAGGACCACCGCGTCGTTCCGGACGGCTTCGATGGCGATTCGTCCGACCTCCCCACACTTCAATGGATCGACATCGTCCGCAAGGTTATCATCGCATTGCTGGTGTTGGCTGCGCTCAACTGGGTCGAGAAGATTTGCATCCAATGGATCGCCACATCCTTCCACCAACGTACCTACGTCCAGAGAATCGAGACCAACAAGAGCGACATCGACCACTTGGTCCACCTTTACGAGCACTCCAAGATGCGCATCGCCCGCGAGGATTCCATCTGGCAGACGACCGAAACCGGAGGTCCTTCAGGCTCCCGTACCCCCATGGGCGTCGTTGGAAAGAATGTCCGTTACGCCTTTAACAAGGCTGGAGGCGTGGCAGCCCGTGTAGGCAACGATTTCATAGGGCGAAAGGTTGCCTTCAACCATGCCCGCAAGATCGTCTATGAGATGCTGCGTAACACAGGTTCTGCCCACGCACTGGCCCGTCTCATCTTCCGCAGTCTGGTCAAGGAAGGCCAAGACACTATCTACCTCGAGGACATGCAGGTTGCTTTCAAGACCGCGGAGGAGGCTGAGCACGCTTTCGGCATCTTTGACAAGGATCTGAACGGTGATATTTCCATGGACGAGATGGAGGGAACCTGCAACGAAATTCACCTGGAACGCAAGGCCATTGCTGCCTCCCTGAAGGATCTCGACTCCGTCATCAAGAAGCTTGACAAGGTCTTCCTCTTTATGATTGTCATCATTGCCATCATCGTCTTTATCTCTATCCTCTCTGGCTCCGCCGCCGCCGGCCTTGCCTCTGCTGGCTCTAGTTTCCTTGGTCTCGCTTGGATGCTTCAGGCTACTGCTCAGGAGTTTCTCCAGTCCATCATCTTTGTCTTCGTCAAGCACCCCTTCGATGTCGGTGACCGTGTCACTATCTACGGCAACACGGGCACTCTCGGAACTGGCGACGACTACTACGTTACTGAGATTTCTCTCCTGTACACCGAATTCAAGAAGATGGAGGGCCACATCGTTCAAGCTCCCAACAGCGTGCTCAACACCCTGTTCATTCTCAACCAACGTCGTTCTGCTGGTCTCGCCGATCCCATTGAGTTGAAGCTTGGTTTCGGCACTGACCCGGCTCTCATCGAGGAGCTCAAGTCCCGCATGCTCAACTTCTGCCTTGACAACAAGCGCGACTACCAGCCTCGTATCATTACCGAAGTCAGAACCCTCAACGAAGTCCAGTCTTTCACGATGAACCTCATTTTCTTCCACAAGACCAACTTCCAGAATGAACTGCTCCGTCTCCAGAGACACAACAAGTTTGCAGCCCAGCTCATGGCCGAGATCCGCGACCTTGGCATGCAGGGCCCTTGGCAGGTGCAGCCTGGTGGTTCCCGCGAGTACCCCTTGTTCTGGACTGGCAGTGCCCCCCCTCCATCCTACAACTCCGCCAGCAACGCAGGCCCCAGCGACGGCCCACCTGCGACTCCCGACGGAGGCCACTCCCAAAGATCTGTTCCACACCGCGCCGTGGCTACTCGCTCGCGTGCCGACTCGCGCGGCAACGTTCCTTTTGTCGACGAGAACTGGAGCGACTTCCAGGACGTCTTCGAATCTCGTAGGGAGGCACAGCAACCCCACGTTTCTCGTCTGCAGAGTATTCGAGAGCGTGCCGATCTCGAGCCTGTTGCGAGCAGTAGTTCGGTGGCGCACCCCGGAAGACAAAGTATCGATTCCGGTACCGGGTCCCAACGGCGTAAATTCTGGGGCAGGCCGCGCAGTTCCAGCAGGGCGAGGACAGGCGATATTGTGTAAACGACACCAGGAGCGTCACCTAAGTCACGTTATGACCTTCTCCATTCCACATTCATTCCTTTCAGCCATGTTCCACACGTGTGGCAAGGCTCGATACCATCTTACTGGTTTATTCTTAATGCGGTATTCATAATCCGAACCCATTCATAGCGAAGCGAAACAACAACAGCAACAACAAGGACAATGACGATAGGAGGGACGATGGGAGACGATGGGGGACGACGAAGGACGAAAGTCATGGTCCGCACGAATTACCCAGGGCCCAGTCTCCCGAGTTGTCGTTGGAATAGAAATTGATTAAAAGTGTGGTACGCAGTTACGAAAGAGGCGAGAGACGACCCTTTCCTCAAGAGCAGATAGAAGAAATCGGGGTAGAATACCCAATAGAGATCTCGATTCGTAATTCATCGTCAGACTTCCTGGTGCCACCAACTGCCCGCGTCACACGTCCTCCAGAGTGAGCTCTGCTGATCATCATCTTCGTCGCTAGAAATGAACCAGCCGTATATTTTCCATCCACAAGAGCCATCACCACCGTCTGGCCTCACCTGGCATCCCGTCAGCAACAGATCCTCCTCCAAGAACGAGTAGATAAGCTTTACGCATGTTCCTATCACCACATCTGTAGTTACTCCCTAATCCTTCTCATGCATGGACACCTCGTTAACCTGGTGTTATTCTCGGTCAGATATGGCAAGTATTGAGGGTTACAGGAATGGAGGATCTGCTTACACCATGATGGAATCGTGTCGTTAGAGGCTTGTGGGGCTGGGTCGGGACGTTTGGAGGCCCCGACGAGAGCGATTGCGGATAGCAGCAGGATCAATTTCATTTTGGTTTTGGTTGAGGTGGTTGGTTTTGGTGATTACGGGTGGTATTTGATATAAGACGCAGGAGAAGTTGAGGAGTTTAAGTAGTCTGGTAAAGATGCGTTTCTACGGTTGAAGTCATTGATCACGAAGGCTCACGAGCGAAATTAGACTTTCGATGTGACGAGAGTCCGGACTACGCCGTTCCCAAGACGCAGACTGTTACACTGCAACTTACAGCATTTCAAGCGGGACTGCGCTCACATGACCATGGTTATGCTTAGGAATAACGCCTCTTTGTGGTTGATGCGCGGTCAGCTGATTTGGTTTCTTAGATGCAATCGGATAGCAACCCATGGGGCTTGACGGGGGAGTGAGTGTGGCGTCGGTGGTGGCGGTGGGAATCATCAAGGTGTCGGGGATGCCGAGCTGGCTGATTGAGGTGACGAGTAACACTTCGCAGAACTCCGAGTGGGATTTCAGCCCGTATGCCGGAGTTTCTGTATGTTAATGATGCACGAGGGCGTCTTATTGACGGATGGCCTCCAATTTATCAAAGACTAGAGCCTAATGTTGCTTCGTTATTATGCCTGAAAGTCTTGAGTAGATGCTTGAAGAACCTCGTGGTTCATCGGGCATCACATCAGTTGATCAGTTCAATTACTACATGTACATCCTTTTCTTCTCCAGCTGTCGCATACTAGGGCTCTCCTCCTTATCCCCATCGTTGCCTTCTCCCGCCAAAGCAGTGGAGGGTACAGCGCTTAGCGCAATGTAGCCACGGCTTCCTCCGGGCTGGACATCTGTAAGTTGAATCCGCATCTTTCTGAGAGCCCTTGCACGCTCCGCGCCGCCTTGGAATGAACCGCCTGATACTGGCACAAAGGCGTTGTCCCGAGTGAGAGAACTGGCGAAGCCGAGGATGTCTGGACCGCGGATCAAGCATTTTAGGACAAGGCCACAAATGGCGAGAAGCTGTAGAAAGGTGGTTGTAAGAATGAGGATGACTGCCCACAGTTTATTCACGTAGTAAGCCGGTTCGGTCGTGGTGACTGTTGCCTGAGTTCGATTTGTCCAGAAAGTACTTGGGTCTTCCGGTAAGGCTAAGGATGACTTCGTGATATTGTACGAGTCCATTCCCGCTTCCCAAACGGTATTAAATGCTGTTGTGAGCCTTCTGGAAAACACATTGAGATCAATTCCTGTCCAAGTTTGGGCTTTCTGATCAGCGTAGACATTTTCGTCGTTGGCAATGTAATTGTCAGTTGCCGATGAGCTGCCTGTCACCACTTGTGTTAAATGTGTCCACGTCCCAACGGCATTTTGGAGCGAAGTTATTCGGTAGTAGAGCTGGGTTTCGGTCGTCGTCAGATTATTTCGAATTCGATATTGTCGCTGTGGCTTGCAACCCTGCGTTGTACATATGAGGTTGGTTCGGAGGTCGATGTTAGCTGTGGTGCAGTTGAAGACGGAAAAAATGCCCAGGTTCTCTGGGTCTCCTCGGCTTATGTAGAGTAAATAAGGGTTTATGAAGAGGTCGGTTGGCTGTACTAGGATGGGCGCGAAACTTGGTAGTTCGTCGGGCCGCGTGTGGTACCTTCCCCAAAAGGCATCACTGAGGTTGCTACCAGGGAAGGTCATCTTCTCGAGATCTTGGGACGATGCCCTACCAACAACCAAAGAGCAGTTGAAATTGATGTAGTTGGAGTCCAAGTCGAACTCGTATTGTGTTGAGTTGTTACTGAAATTTAGGCCTTGCGTATTGACTCCTATAAGAGACGTATAGTAGTCCCTCCCAGACTCAAGAGCATTGTTATCAACCTCACGCCAGGTCTCTTCAGCATCTTGTGTCGGATCCAAGGGCCATTGTGGGACTTTTGGTCTTCCCCATAAATCCATAGACGCCTGCTGTTGCTTCCTAGGCGAGAGGAGACTGGCAGAATAGAGGGCTGGAACAACGTCCGACGCTTGAACATAGTATCAGTCCATGTCGAAATATATGGAATGCTGATGTGCCCTGTTGTCGTAGAATACCGAGCCATTGTCTGTGGAAACCTTCCCGTCAATTTGAAGTAGTCTCAGCAGGCTTTGACCGCCCAGAGGCGACATTGCCCAACTCAATAAAATAAGAGCTCCTAGTAATAGCCGCGCCCGGACAACGATTAATCGTTCTAGAGCGCTGGCAAAGCTTTGGCTGCCGACAATTTGTTCCAGTGATGATACGGTGATGCCGCCTGGTCGTTCAAGATACCAACGAGCAATGTTCCTGTAGAATCGAGCTACCACCATGGCGAACAGGATTGGGTAGATGGTTGGGCCGAGACGTGTTATCTCTTCGAGCCTGACACCGTACTCCGAGGATGATCTGACCTTTTGGTCAAGCTGAAGGGCAAGGACGGAAACGGCTTTGTACAAAGTTAATTCACCAGCCAAAGCCAAAATGGGGTCTACAATACCATACATATGAAGAATATCGGCAAGACAGTTAGAACAACCTCCCATGTCCATGAGAGAAGTTTGATTCCCCATGATTCTTGGTCGATGAAGCCAGGCCTGAGATGAAAGCCTTGGGCATGCCCCCCGTCTTTGCGGTCTGCCGTTGCGGTGCTTCCTTCAACGTTAGAGCTCTGCCTACACTCAGAATCGGAACTGCTGTCGGATTCGTCGTCTCGTGGCTGTTGTGCGGTTGTCTCGTGTTCAAGGTCTGGAGTACTTTCAGTCTCAACGTTGCTAACTGAATGATAGTCTGCCATCGAAGGCATCTTGTCGAACGCTGAATTGTAGTTGGTGAAGAAGTAAGGTAACATAGAATGTCTACGGATCGAGTTTTGTTCCAAGTAGCATGCGAGGATCTGAAAGCATAGCTGCGTAGGCCATGTATTTTGTACCGACGTCGATTTGTAACAGTCGCTCTTTTCAGATAATTCGCGTACCGCTTCATATATCAGGTTTGAGCATGCTGTGAAACCACAATGACGCATTATACGAGGTCAGAAATAGTCAAGCGTCTCACACGGAAGATCACTACATGGTGTTTCCAGCCAAATATCCACGTGTCTTGCGCTAAAAAACGGAACATACATGGAAGGAGTGGATCACGCATCTACTATCTGAAGAAAAGCCCCAGAGTAATCTAGAATAGCAAGATATTGAAGCTGTAGGCAAGCTTTTTGGTAGCATCTAATTGGAACATAGCACAGGATAGGGAAAGTCTGCTTCTTGCTTCAATTTTGCTGAAGATCTACCAAAGGTTCGATCCATCCCGGCCTCCCCTTTGCGACCGATGGCGGCGTGTACCATAAGGCTAGAAATGAAGAGAGAAACAGTACTCAAAGCTTATTTGGTACGGAGATTCAAGCAGTCAATCTTGGCAAACGAAGGCTGAGAGCTCAAGGCGAGCACGGCATATTCTTGCACAGGCACGACAGCCAGGATCTTCTTGCCGCTTCGCGAATGTTCAGCTGGTAACCTGGTGGCCTCCTCATTTATCTGGTACTTTGATGCACAAAGTTTGATGGCGAGGGCGGAAAGATATTTCCACGGTGGTATTTCAAAGATCGAGTTAATGGGCTCGAGGGTGGTACAAGAATTGTGATCTTCGTCAAATGCCTCAAACGATAAGAGCAGAATACAGATTCGTGTATTATAGATTGTCGTAAAAGGAGCTTTATTTGACATGTTTCAGTGGATGCCGAGTATCACTTACGAAAAGTGTGGTAGAGCATATGAAAAAAGTATTCGGAGCATAATTTGTTCACCCAATGGAAGATGCGAACGGAATCGTGTTTAAAATTGTTGTCAAGACATTCGGATCGGTTGAAAGTCTGTATAAATCGGAGAAGCTACAATCCAGAGCTAGCTATGTGATGTACCTAAGCTTGCGAAACATCGACGGACTCTTCACTATTCTCCAGTCTGTTCTTAGCCCGAAGAATCTCGCGAAGTGTCTTGTGAGTCGAAATCAGAGTTTCGTCCCCGGTAGTTGAGATGTAGGGCGAGTTGGTAGGCTTGTCCGACGACACCCTCGTGACGAAGTTCTTGGGCTGGTCGTCCACCACGAGACGGAGGAGGTCGGGCCGGGAGTAATGACCGACGCAATCGGTCAGCGTCTTGGCGTAGTCAATTTTGTCAAGGTCAATGTCGCTGTAAATGAGGCCGTCGTAGGTGGGCTTCGTGGGCTCGGTAAGCTGTCGGCCATCCGGACCAAAGACGGCGGCCCGGCCTCCGCCGCCACTCAGCATGAAGCTGTCCATGTCGGCGCTGCCCTGGCCCTCGCTATTGAGGCGGGCGCCCTCGGCAGACAGCGGCTGGTTGGTACAGAGGACGTATACGGCACCCTCCAGGGCGTACATGCGGCTCGCGGTGAGTTCGTTGGCCTCGCCGAACAGCGACCACGGCTCGATGCCGCCGTTGAACTCGCCGTTGAAAGGCCATGCGGCAATGTGCACCTGCTCGCCCTGAGAGTAGGTGTGGTACTTGAGAAGAGGCTGCAGATGCTCTGGATATGGGGTCAGCGTGATGACAATTTGAACAAGAAACCGGTGAAAGACTTACCCCAACAGTTCAGCATTCCAATCTTTCCCAGAGGCGTGTCGACGACAGTGGTCAGCGAGTCGCCCGTCGAGTCACCGAAAATCGTCCGCTCGACATGGGTCGGCTTCGTCTTCCTCCGATGAAGCAGGATATTGCCTTCGGAGTTGATAAGCACCTGTGCTAGATACAGGCTAGCACCCACACGCTCGCTGAAGCCAAAGGCAACGTAGATCTTGTTCTCGGCTGCGGCCTGACGGATCCGCAGCGTCTCGTCTCCATACGCTGTGATGCTGTTCTGCATGTATTTCTGGACGAGCGGGATGTTCTCCTTGTAGTTTCCTGACCAGAGAAAGTTGGGGTACCCGGGGACCCAGACCTCGGAGAACGCGATGAGGGAGGCGCCGTTGCTGCGGGCTTCCCTGATGAGCTTAAGCGACTTCTCAATAGTGGCGTCCTTGTCGAACCAGCAGGGCTCCGACTGGCAGACGGCGGCTTTCCATTGGCGAATAGACATGGTGAAGGTAATGTCAAAGAGCTACAATAAAACGAGGGAGAACGGCTGGAGGAAAGCGTAAACGCTGATTGTAAGATTCCAGGCGAGTGTTCAGGCGGCTGGAAAAGACGATGTTTTAAGTTACCGACTATCTTTGCACTTATCATACCGTGATTGATTAAATATCATCTTTGCAAGTAGTACTATCTCATCCCGTTCTCCTATCAGAATACTTTGGCTCCTTGTACTGATAGTACCCATGTGGGAATTGGAACATGGGGCGCAGGAAAGATATGTCACTTCTTGCAGGCACAATCGATAGGGAGAGATATCATGCATGATTCAATCCGGGTGTTGCTGACCCGGATAACCGCTCGGGTAATGCATGCCCGGATAGTATTTGCGGGGGATGGCATATGCAGGGCCCACCGCGGAGAGGCTTCAGAAAACCTGGGGTAAAAGTATATCGGCTGGCTATGGGACTGGATTCCTAGTTCTTCCCTGATACATTGGTCTGGAGTCTCCTCTTGCCTTGGGTGGTGGGGTCCATGACTACTAGGTGCTGGACACGAAGCCAGCTGCTTCAACATATTGCACACATAAGTCAGTAACAAGAAGATGAGTCAATCATGTCAGAGAGCAAGGTAAAGCAACCCATCCATTGCCAAACTACAACTAGTGGAATAAAGGCAGTACGCAGTGTAGTCTGCAGGGTTACTCACTTCGTGATTCTCAAGCCATATGGAATGACGACCAATTCACTCTGCAGGGTGATTCAAGTAAGTATCCAGGTCCAACCAACTGTCCGCCGATTGCTGAGCGGTTGCGTCAGAAAGAAGACGGGACAAGGACTCTTCGTCATCCCCATCGGGCGGACAGATGGCTGTCTCGTCCAAAACACAAGTTCCCTCTTTGCTGGTTATCTCAACGTCCCACCGTCTAGCGATCTGTTCCAACGCAGATATGGCACGCTTGCTCCAGCCCCATGCAATACTCATGCTTTGCAAGCTCTCGAAACAAGTCTCGAGGTCCTTCAGAGACTCTTTTCGAAGATTATTGTCTCCCGACGTGGCGTCTGCCAGGAATATCACCGCGGCCGTGAAAGCGCAGTGTACCGCGGAAATTGGTATTGTGCGCTTATTTCATTAGCGATAACGGAGGCTCAGTGAGAGACCGCAAACTTACAAGAGAGAAGTTCTTCTTATATATCCGAAAAATCCTGGCTACCCATTGAGCAGCTTTGCGGCACGCCACCGTGTGGACATCTGATTGGCCTGCTGCGGACAAGGCGAACTCCCGGGAAGAATCAGTCGATTTGAGGAAGGGGCGATGAAGCAGTATCATGATGACGTGGTATTGAAGGATGCGTTGTGTTAGCCAAACGGACAAAATAGGGCATGGTATGAAGTTTGGCTTACTGAAGTTGATACACATGTGGAGGACATGGGTGACGTGAAGATTTGGAAATCTTCAGACAAGGCGGCAAATCGTCCAAAACTCTGAGAAGTTTGACATGACCTTCCGATACCACGCTTTCGGTTTGAGGTCTGGTTCTGTTGTCTAACGGAGTGTAGCTACGTGTGTGTTAGCATCTGATGTTGCACATATCCCCAGAAACTGTACTAGGTAGGGGTTTGAGGCTTACATAGCATCAAGAATGTCGCCCATAGCGACGAAGAGTTTGCAGGTATAGATAGCATTTGTGATACTGTGAGACGCAGCGGTCGTAATGGAATTGACTAAGCTCAATGCCCCTTGCCATGGTTCCAGCTCCTCCACACAGCAAGTGTTTGGTAGTTCAGCTGTGACGTCTCGAGCCTGGATCATGGACGGCCTCCCCAGACCAATGTTGAATAGCCTGCTTTCAGGTCAGCCACTGACGGACACACCGATGAGGAATCAAAGGGTCTGAATACTTGTCAAGCACATAGCATCCCCACCACGTCACGTTTCTCACCTCGGCCTCTTCGGCACTGAGTGTCCCCTCCGAGAGGCACGATGAGCAGTCCAGGTGCATACCCAAGTTCATAGCCATTCGCACACACATACCGCAGTACATCCACCCGAGGGCCTCCTTGTCGACGGCCATCTCGCGCAAGCACGTCAAAGCTAAAGCCTGGACGGTGGTCGGAGTTGGCGCTTCACACTCATAATGCAGCATCACCCGGGCCTGGGCTGCAAACGCATCTCCCGCGGTATTTGGATCGTTTGGGTCGGTCCTGACACGTATATCGTTGGTGTACCTCGAAGCAAGTGCCAAGATGGCGTAAAGCAGGGCAGGCGAACAAAATCGCCCGAAAGGGCTGCCCGGGTGGCTGCTCAGATCCTGCAGAAACGGCGCTTTGCAAACGATGTACTGCCAAGAGTTCTGCCACTTCCAAAATAAATCCAGAAGGTGCGTCTGAAGGCCCTGGGACGCTACAACGAGTCCCACTTGGGCCTTGGCCGCCTCGTAGCCTCTGCGCTGCATCTCAATGTTCGACGTTGAGCGGATCGTCGCGCTCCTCAAGAGATTCAAATTGCTCCGGGAACCAAAGTAACAGAGCTCCCCGCCGTCCCCGATGGCAAAGCGCCCGAGGATATCAGTCACTTCTTCCATTGCCACTGACATTGTCCTAGATGTTCCATGGCTGGTCGTAGACTCCGGCGACATCCGTTCATCTTCGTCGCCGGCTTCCCGGAATTCGGTATCAGCAACGGGGGCCAAGTCACCACCCTCACCGGAGCCCCGCACTCGGGCGAGTTCGGCCCCAAGACTCTTCACACGAGCCTGCAGCGCAGCCACGTATTCTTTCTTCGGGGGTCTGCACACGACCTTATCAGCTCCTCCTATACCTGACAACAAGCCAGGTCCGCCCGAGCCAGGGAAAGGACTTACTTGCGATTATTCGGGGCGTGTACGTATTCACAATCCGACTCCCGGTACTTGCATGCTGAGCATTGTATAGGGTTGCCGTCGCACTGAAAGTATGGTGGTTAGAGCGGTGGAGAATATGGTTCTCATGGCACTTGCTCTACCTTGGTTCTTTTCGCTCGGCACGCCAAGCAGGCTGTCAGGACCCGTTTTCTCTGATTACTCTGGGTGTTCATTGAAAATTGCCCTGTGCGAAAGTGAGTATCGGGGTTCAAAGCTGGTCCGGAATGAAGTTTATGGCCTTGTCGATATAGGCTGTCAATCAAATGGAACCTATGTGATCGTATCCGGGTATTTAATATCCGGATGCCGGTCTGCCACGGGACCCCGGAACTGGGCACGTGACCACAGGCCGTGTTTGGTCCCATTCATCAAATCTGACGACATAGAAGCTGGAAATAACATTCGGTTGAGAATTACGGTGAAGATTCACGGTATTCAACTGCATAGGAAGTTTCACTAGTATGGCCGATCGTGCGCACTATTGAGCCTTGCCTATTCCCCCCGATCACCGGCGAACGAAGTGGGCTAGTTCGACGACGGGCCCCGGGTTCGGTCCGGGGGACTGGACCCAGTAAAAACACCCGTTTCCTTGTCTGCTTGTTTGGGTTGAACTATGCCGGCTCTGGATATGTGCGCCAAGCCCCGGAACATTCGTTTCTGAAACGAAACCTGGACAAATGAAGGAAGTTGATACCGTCTTGCCCTTAGTAACGAAAGGAACATGCTCTCATAGTCGTTGCCGCCGACGCCCTCGCCTCAGTCCTTTAGCTGGTATCCTACAGAATTTGCCAAAACTTACACGGATGAAAATCACCGCAGGCGGTCCATACACACTCTCTGCCCCTCCCATATCAAAATCAGCTCGGGAAGGGGTTATTTTCCATCTCCTTCCCCTGCTCTGAACCCCAGCACTTCAGAACCCGTTTCTCACCACCCGAGCCTTTCAAAAGAAATGGCTAGTCACTCGCCTCGTCTGCGGCAGCCACCGTAGCCACCGTAGCCGCCCGGCGCTCCACCTCCCTCATGAACTTCCTCACCTCGGGGTCCAGCGGCAGCGTCCTCCTCATCTTGGCCTTGTTCCCGATGACCTTGAGACCGCCGAGCGATCGCGCGCGGCTCAGGGCCACGTACGTCTGCCTCCCGTCCCAGACGTCCTCCAAGTTGACGATGACGCGGTCGAGCGACAGGCTCTGGCTCTTGTGGATGGTCATGGCCCAGCCCGGGACGAGGGGGATTTGCGTTCGCGCCGAGTACCCCGTCAGGGCCTTCCTCGACCCGTGGGGGGTTTGCTCCATCGCTGTTTCGATATCGTGCATGTTGCAGTAAGGCACGATGACGCGTCGCTGGCCGTTTGCGAATATGACTTCGGGGACTGTGGGGACGAGGATTAGCGGTTCGTGGTTACGGCTTTCTGGGGAATTCGGGACATGGGGAGGACTCACAACCCTCGACGCCTGATGCGCCATTGATGTAGTCGGTCATTTGGTCGTATCTAGCGCATGCGAGCTCGTAGGCGTAGTGGTCTCCCTTGTAACTCTTCTCTTCGGGCATTTTGGGTTTGTTGTGTTCGTGCAGCGTCCGTACGAAGCGGAGGAGCTTGCCCTGGCTGCCATTGCAGAGACCATTCTCGACGTCGAGCTGCCATCTATTGGTTAGTGCGTTGTTCTAGCTTGCCTTGGGACGAGGTACGCGATGGCGCGGCGAAGGGGGAGAACTCACGTTAGCCAGCAGCACAACCGGCATGCCGGCCTTGAGGGTCAATTGTTTGTCGAAACGGTGCTTGTCGTTGTTGTCGCCAAGGTCTCTAGGGTAGTCCACGGAAAGTAATTTTTCTGGTCGGCTGGGAAGCTTGTTAAGCTCCCGGTTGTTGTGATCCTTGGCTTTCTGCTTATGGCTGAACAGGGCTATGCCATCCCTGACTTGGCGAGGTTGCAGCAGGACGTCAAGATCGGCGTCAGTTGTGTGGCCGAGGCGGATGTTCTGGAGCATCGTGATGAATCGCTCATCGGTTTGCCGATGGATCTTGGTTAGATGGATGTATCTATTTGCCGAGTATGTCAGGTCGACGTCCTCTGTCTGTACGGATCATGATACTTACTGGAAG